AAATTTCAAATGCGTTTATTTAACTTCTCAGCCCGTGATTCTATCCTCTTGACTTATCTTACATGTTCATTTATTGCTGTATTGTTTGTAAAGCAAAAGATTAGAAACCACCTAAACATCCATCAGTAGGAGACCAATTTCAGGAAAAATTCGTGCTACAGGATACCATGCGGCCTTTAAAAAAAAAAGTGTTTAGAATAGGTAAAAAAACAAACAAACTAAAGAGTAAAACAAAGTCTCAAAAGTCTCTCTAGTATGCTGCCATTTGTATAAAAAAGAGAAATATTATACATAAATATATGTGCTTGTATATGTATAAAATATATCTGGAAGAATAGGGAAAAATGGGAGTGGATAGCTGGGAGGTGGTATTGATACAGGGACTTCATTTTGTGCCTTTTACATTTGAACCTCTTATAATGTTATAAATTTTTTTAATTAAAAAATTTAGGAAACTATGTAACAACCTAAAAATGTGTGCATTATATTGGCAACTGTATAAACATATAAGAATATGAAACAAAATAAGCAGAAATATTGAAATGAAATTATGGACATCTAAAAACTTTTTTGCCAATATTTCTGCAATTATAAATCATTAAACCATTAATACATTTAAAATTGACATAAAACAATGTTATTTTAATTACTCAAGATATTACTCTATGACTTTTTAAGAAAGATAAATATAATAGGCCCATTTTTAAGTGTTTTGCTCTTGATGGGAGAAAAGCAATGTCCTATATACTTCTTTTGTAAAATTTCAACTAAACTCATACTAACTCAGAAGGATTCTATATTTGCTACTATGACCTATTAATTTTAGTAATTTTATTGCAGCCTAGAAAAGTAGAGTCCGATAAGGTCTTACAGGCTTAACTTAGTGTAATCCATTAGATCTTTGTTTTTAGAGACTCATTTTCTCTTTTCTTGGTTTATGTTCTTAAATTCCTTTCTTATCCAAATGATTGTCATTGTTAAGAAATACAAATAAACAACAAGGTTTTACTGTATACCACAGGGAACTATATTCAACATGTACTAATCTAATAACCTATAATAACTATAACGGAAAAGAATCTGAAAAAGAATACATATACATACAATACTGTGTTAGTTTCAGGTGTAAAGTGATTCAGTTGCATATATAATATACACAATATTATATGTAAATAAACTGACTATAGCTCAATAAAAAAAGAAAGACAGAAATACAAATGGTAATAAGGCTGCTTGTATGTCTTAATTCCATTTAGAATTTCAGCATACAAGGTGAGGAACAGACACATGAGCTATTCAGTGAGTACTAACCGTGCAACCCATGAGTCTCCTAGCTACTGTGGAATTGAAAGAATTACAACTTGCCAAATGTAACTTTCTAGGAGGACAATATCCGAATACACTTTAAGAATATTATCTTTAGGAATTGGGAAGAAAGTTACTAGTCTCTAACATAGTTTCTTTTGTGGCAGTTAACTATTTAACTTTATAGTGTATTGGTTTCCCTCTTTTTTTTCTTTTCTAGGTTATACCTACATTTAATATTGAAAACAGAACTACTTAGCATTCCTGTGGCCTAACATTATTTTCCATGATAAATGTGTGCATTTCCTTCAATTACCTTAAAATTAGAATTTCAGAGATCAGTTCAGAGCTTTTCCTGCATTTTAGCATTATACCTTCTTATACTCATTATTGCGATCACATACAACTTTGTATTTCTCTTGCTTGAAGAGATTTCAGAAAAATAAATTTAATAAATGTTATATGCAATATTTTTGCATAAATTGACTCATGAATTTGAAATTCCGGACGTTATAGCTCTGTTAACTTAAGTGCTTTAACCTGGCTTTCAATACTGTTGAAGCTGAATTGGCTTCAACATGAAACTCTTTGTAAACAGCCTAAAGTAACTGTGAGCTCTGGAGCTGGTGCCAAAACATTACTCCTTCTGTGCCTTCAAAGAAGGGCTGTGGCTTTTTGTCTATTTATATATACATAACTTATACCAAAGAAAACAAAATTTTAAATATTAAAGGTATTAAAAGTAATGAAGACAAGGACGATTAAACATCTAGTGTCTTTGAACTACACGTAAGTCACAGAATTCCTCGTCCATAAAGTCATAATGTGGGCTTCCAACTAGAGCAGGAAGAGAAAGATGACTAAAGAGACATCTGTACGGCAGAGAAGACACTGATCCCTTCAAGCTGGGGTTGGCAAACTAAAGCCTGCTGGGTAAATAGGGCTCGCAGCCTGTTCTTGTCAATGAAGTTTTATTAGAACACCACACTTGTAGGCAGATAGGGGAGGGGGAATCCCTGGTGGGAAAGAACCAGATACAGCTTTTCGACATAAGAGAGGCCATTTTAAGCCTAAGCCGTTTTGTGATCTAAGCCTGTCCTCAATGCTTGCCCTTGAACAGGCCTCAGTAATAACAATTTTAAGGAAACAAAGGAACAAACTGACTGTTATCAGGCAAGAGAAGTAACTATAGCAAAGACAACAAGTTAGCTGTCTTTGAAACGGAACTCTCAGTTCCTTTTCAATGGTAAAGATTGGCCTGAAGCACTTTCTTGAGCTGTTCTGAAGAATCTAAACCCCCCTCTAGCGATCAACCACCTGATCAGTGGAACCTAGGAGATGATGCTGTTAACCTTTTCTGACTTGTGACTTCAATCAACTAAAGATTGGACTCCGTCGACCTCTGCCCCAGTTCTATGCTGAATCTCCTCTGCACAAGCCCCTTCATGAATATTCATATACCCTTAGCTTAAAACTTCCCCAGTTTTGCTGTTCCCAGAGACACTGCTTTGGGAAATATCCCCAGTGTTCCCCTTACTTGCTGCAAGCAATAAATCCTTCCTTCTTCGGATCAATCTTTGGCTTGGTTGTGTCTTTTGGCTCAATGTCTGCCAAGAGACTGAACCCAGTCTTTGGGTAATACACTCACTTGTTCATGTATTGTCTATGGCTGCTTTCATGTTACAGTGGCAGGGTTGCATAGCTACAACAGAGATCATCTGGCCCGCAAAGCCTAAAACACGTGCTGTCTGGCCATTGACAGAAAAATGTTGTCAAGCCCTGCACACTTAGGGGGTTTCCTCAAAATAAGGACATAAGATTTGGCAATCCTTGAGACTTAGGATTGAAAATCAAATTACTAGCAACTACAGAAATGCAAATCAAAACTACAATGAGGTATCACCTCACACCAGTCAGAATGGCCATCATCAAAAAATCTACAAACAATAAATGCTGGAGAGGGTGTGGAGAAAAGGGAACCCTCCTGCACTGTTGGTGGGGATGTAAATTGATATAGCCACTATGGAGGACAGTATGGAGGTTCCTTAAAAAACTACAAATAGAACTACCATACGACCCAGCAATCCCACAACCGGGCATATACCCAGAGAAAACCATAATTCAAAAAGAGTCATGTACCACAATGTTCATCGCAGCACTATTTACAATAGTCAGGACATGGAAGCAACCTAAGTGTCCATCAGCAGATGAATGGATAAAGAAGATGTGGCACATATATACAATGGAATACTACTCAGCCATAAAAAGAAACAAAATTGAGTTATTTGTAGTGAGGTGGATGGACCTAGAGTCTGTCATACAGAGTGAAGTAAGTCAGAAAGAGAAGAACAAATACCGTATGCTAACACATATATATGGAATCTAAAAAAAAACAAAGTGGTTCTGAAGAACCTAGGGGCAGGACAGGAATAAAGATGCAGACGTAGAGAATGGACTTGAGGACACGGGGAGGGGGAAGGGTAAGCTGGGACGAAGTGAGAGTGTGGCATGGACATATGTACACTACCAAATGTAAAATAGATAGCTAGTGGGAAGCAGCTCCATAGCACAGGGAGATCAGCTCGGTGCTTTGTGACCGCCTAGAGGGGTGGGATAGGGAGGGTGGGAGGGAAACGCAAGAGGGAGGAGATACAGGGATATATGTATATGCATAGCTGATTCACTTTGTTATAAAGTAGAAACTAACACACCATTGTAAAGCAATTATACCCCAATAAAGATGTTTAAAACAAAAAAAATTACTAGCATCACCATTATCACCTTTGGTAGGAGTGAAAGGTCTTGGTTTAATCCTCAATTCGTCAGAGGATTCTGCTGTTCTACTCAATATTTTGGAGTACCGGGTAGGAGTGACATATTTTCTTATGAATATGAGTTGTATGTACAAATTTTATAATTCAAAATATGTGTTTTAATAAAAACTTATTTAGAGACATATGGTGTCAATAGATGTGTAGATAGATAGCAGAGAAGGTAGACATCAAAATGCTTGGCATAATCTGATGGCTGAAATGATAGCCTGAAAAGTGATGTGAGATATCAAGTTAGAGCCAGGGAACAAGGACCATCCTACAGAAGAACAAAGATGGCACTGGAGGACTCACAGACAAGCCCCCACCTTGTAAGAAGTTGGGACCAGTAGTCCACATTTCTGATATTCTGGTGGCAAAAGCAGCTCATTTTTAGCCAGAATCCTTTGTGAAGTGAGGGAAGCCAGGACCAAACACCAAACAGAGCTTTGGACCTCAGGTACCTGGGCATCATGCAAGGGTCACAGTACCTGCACAGTACTTCCAGCCCATCACTTACCTTCAACACCACTCATCCCACCAATGAAAAATCACTCATCATTATGCTAATGTACGATATGTTATGCTAAATTATGGTATAATTTATAATATTATTATGCTAACTTTTGAATCCACCTCTGGACTGTAAACTCCCATCTAGGGTCATTCCAAAGCTAACCATCTCTAAAGTATAGGTTTCTGATTAGGGAACTTCAAATGCTATCTAACCACCCCTATGCCGTAGATTTAAATTAACTTACATATGCATACATCCCATTCACAGAGAGGATAAAACACACGCCAAACCTTAATCTTGTTGTAAAGCACATAAATCCAACACATTATCTAGAAAAGTTTTCATCTCTTCTGAGTCTTTGAACATACCACAAAAACAGGATCATTGGCAGCAGAATGAGGCAAAGCGTTTGTCCCGTTCAGGAAGGAATGAACCAAATTATGAAGGTTCATCACTTGAGAGTCCAGGGTCCCGTCTGCTTTATCAAATCCTTCCAGGGCATTCCTGAGAGAAATCAGTATGTCAGCGACAAGAGTCATGAACTGATAAAGGTCCCTTTGTATTGTTTCCAGCCTAGATAATAGCCTTCTATTTTGAGATGGTGTCGGGAAGTGGGAAGCTCTGTTGTAGCTAAATAGCTAAGAATTAGCGACAACCTTTAATGAGATCTTCTAAAGAGAAGGGAACTCCTAATCCATGCTACTTTCACACCTTCTCAGTTGGAGTCTATATCTTTTGTGTACTGTATGACAATTATTTACTGTCATATCTGTCTCCCGTGCTAGATATGAACTTCTAGAGGACAGAGACTGTGGTTTCTTCAAATTTGTATTTCCAGGTCTCAGTACCATGCCCAGCACGTGGTCTGAGATCAATAAATTTTTTTTGAATTCACATATAATCTTATATTCCTATTTCTCCACTAAATAGATCTGCTGTTTGACTGTAATACATTCAGCATTCTAAAGATATCCCCAAATTCCCCTTATCTTTCTCTTTTATCCCCTCCTCATTTTCAGGAAATTTTAATTGTCCGTACCCTAACTCAGTGATCCTCAAATTTAAGCATACATCAGAATCACTGGAAAATAAAAATACACATTTCATGCCCCACTTTCAGAGTTTCTGATTCAGTAGGTACAGGCTGGGTCCTAACAATCTGTGGTTCTTTCTACCTAACTCCCAGGTGATGTCAATTATGATGGTCTGGGCACCACACTTTGAAAACCACTCGCTTAACTAAAATCTATATGGAATACAATCTGTGTCAACTGCACTTGTATCACAATGAAAAACTAATGCATGCTCCTTTTCAAGGTAAAGGTCATCCTTCACCTCACCTTTGACACTATTCTGAGGGATGTGTCCAACCCCAGCACAGACTCTGGGCTCTGCTACCCTTGACACGACCTCTGCAGTAAGTTCAGCCTACCTTGCCCCTGGCCCCAAATAACACACCGATTGTATAATTTACACACGGTTGAGAGAGAGAATTCAGTTTAGGAGAAGACCATGAGTCTATCTGCCATTCTTTTTAGGAGCTTCAAAGATGTTTGTTTAAAATCTTATTTATAGCCATACATATTTCTCATCATGCTTACTGTCTTTGTAGAGGGAGAAAATTATTAGTTGGCCTTTAAATTTCAAGTATTGCAATGTCATTGCTGTGCTGTAATCTGAGTTGCATTTAATCTGTAACGCTCCTCTGAGATCTCAGACTCCAATATTAAGGTCTATGGTTGACATTTTTTTAAGGGAGAAAAGAAAAATCATGAGCAAATATTTCAAAAATACTCTATTTAGTGAGGTGCCTTGGTTCTGAAGACTGTACTTATATGTGTACAGGAATTAGAAATACAAAAGGTGGTTTTGAATGGTTGAGCTAGAAAATATTCAAACTACGCTATTAATGATAGTAGGTGGATGATGACTTTCTTGACACTGATGCCTTGTTACCCTCTTTTACCAAGTGCTTCCCTATTACTGAGCTTTGATGTCTCCCAACACCTGGATTTCCTTCCAGTTCATTACAACCACAGGCGTGAAAATCTAAAAGTATTTGTAAAATGCCAGGGTCGCAGAGCTCAGAGCACCAACCTGAAGCTAAAGGTAGAGTTCTGGAAGAAAGGAGGATTGTCAAACTTCTTGAGAGACAGGCAATCTTGGATGTCTTTTAAAGTTGGCAATTTCTCACTGTTTCTTCCCACTTGATTTCTTCTCAACAAACCTTCATAGGTTCCATTACACAGGGTGACCCGGCGGTTGTAGTCATCCAAGCTAAGATGTGTAAGGAGATTAGAAATAATATGGATAGTATCGTAACTTTGAGCCCAGCAAACCAATCAAGGTTATAGTCATGGTAAAATTTTACTACAGTTACCTTACAAGGGTCAAAAATATGTGGTAAAAGTACTGCTTTCAAAAGCAATTATGGATTAAGGATTTTCAAAAAACATAGATGCATGAAATATGAATCAACACATAAATAGTGAAGAAAAATTACCATTCCGTTGGAAAGACAGTAAGAGGGTTTACTAGGCAAGACGGTGACTCCTGTTATGTCCATCTGAATCTTGAATAACTGAGGAGAGACCAGGCTAGACTCTATTAATATTGAGCTAAGCCAGTTTGGGCAGAAGTAAAGCTAGGAAAGCATTTCAGGCAAACTGAAGGCAAATGAAGGCGGTCAGAGTGAAAACACGTGAAACTATATAGAGGAGAAGTATTAGGAGAAACGCTGTATTAGAAAATGTTCTAAGGCAGAAGGGATGGTTAATTGGTAAACGTGGATGCTGGGAAGGTCCCGTGCCCATAAGATTATATCCTACATGCCTGTTGGGGCCTGGAGTTCCACCATCAGAACAGTATTCCATTTGGTAGAGATCAAATTTTCAAGATGTTTCGGTGTGCATTTTAATGGGTGAGGGGATCATACTGGGTGTGTGAGAACAGAATCAGTGCACATGAGGATGAAAGATGCCAGTACCTAAAAACTAGACAGAAAACAGCCTCCAAAGCACCCTTTCCCAAGTGTGTTCCAGTGAGATGGTCTGTGAAATAAGGGTGTCAGGGTCAGATAAGTTTAAGCCCCTCTTGAAAAATAAGAACGCGGTTACTTATGAAAGGCTCTGAGACATTCTAAAATTTTTAAAACCCTTTTAACTCAGCATTCTCTAAATTTATTTGATCAGAGGAGTCTCTTTTCACATACCACCTATTAATAGCCCAAGGCACTATGAGAAATGGTGCCCTTATGGAACGACATTAAGTCATGTACAAAGCACTTACTACATCCCTATGAGCACTGCCTGGAGGGCTGTAGGAAAAGCTTAGGATGTAGAAGATGGGATCACGGTGAGCTAGACCTAGACCCCCGAAAACACGCGCATGCCCAGCCTGGGGCGTGGACAACAAAGCTCTGTGCCATGGAGCGGTCGAAAGACAAAGGACAAGGGCACTAGTATAGTGGAGTTCAAAACAGGAGGATTGTGGAGGAAACAAATGAATACAGGAAGACGGAAGAGCTTCTTGGGGAATCTTTTCCTGAGATGTGTGCCAGGAAAGAGAAACAAATTCAAGGAATCCCTGAGGACAGAATTCTTTGTGGGGTATGGGCTGCTTGTGTGTTCTTTGGTACTTTCTTTTTTTTTTGCAAATAACAAACATTTGCTGGTGTCGGTTACGGTAGAAAAAAGTTTCTACACCAGATGCACATGACCCGATTTTAGTACTTTAGAGATTCGTCTCACCACCCCATTTCCTGTTCCCCTCAACTCCCCAGCACCCTATGGCCCAGCCATATCAGACTGCTTCTAGGGACTTTTCTAACTACATACATGATGTTCCCTCCGTCTAGGACACACTACCCTCCCCTGCCTCTGGTTGAGAGATCTGTGCCTCCTTGAAGTCTCAGGATACTCGTGTCTCCACCTCTTAAAGACTTTCGCTGATTCTCTTCTTGGCTTTGGACATACACCTATTAAAATACTTCTCACGTTATATTGTAATTTGTTTACCAGCCTTCTACCTTCGTAAGTATAAAATGATATTCCAAAGGGAAGCTATATTTTATTCATCCTTGTATTCCCAGCACTATTAAACTGTTTAGAATATGATCAGTGCTTAAGACATGTTGGCTGAATACAGGAAATACTTCTCATTTTAAGACAGTTGATCTCAAAGTGATGGCCAAGCATACTCAATTCACAGGTGTGATTTCCATACCTCTACTTTCTTTTTATTAAAGGGCTCAGGGTTTTTTAAAATCCCACCTCCCTCAGGAAAATACTGTTCAGAAACATGTAAACAGAATCCAACATGCATTAGAAAGAGAATTGTAAAGTTATTCTCCATCTCTCAGACATCAGAAAATACAATCTCTGGATTTCTGCCGCAGGTACACACGCGATTACCTATCACAGACAATTTCCCAGCTGGAGAATCTGGAGTTTTGACTAATCAGAGTCGGATCATCTTTTCTTGCAGCCCCAAGCAGCTGGTCTGTACACACGTCACACTCGTTCCTCCCGGTGGCAAAGTTCCAGTAGGGCAAAGCAAAGGACTCATTGCCAGTGAGGCGCTAAAAGCAAAGGGCATGACCAGTCATTTAATTCATGTCATCAGATACAACAAGAAAATGTATAAAGCAAAGACTGATATGGGTCTCGACCAAATACAAAACAAAATTAAAAGAAACTAATGTTTGGACCAACCTGGAGATCTCTTTCCAGCCACAACAAGTGGTAGCGGTGCCAGGTAACGAAGGCGGGGCCTTGGTGTGAGAAATCTATGGCCTTGTATGGGCGCCCTGGTCCTAAAACAATTGGGAAACACGTTAGAGGTCACACAATAGATTTTTTTTAAATGTTAAATGTTACCTGGGAGGTGCTGCAGAGCCAATAAGTCCGTGATGTTTTAGTCGGAAAACAACTTTTTAAAATTAATTAATTATTTTTTTATTGAAGTATAGTTGATTTATAATGTTTCAGGTGTACAGCAAAGGGATTCAGTTTATATATATATATACACATATATATATATTCTTTTTCAGATTCTTTTCCATTATGGTTTATTCCAGGATACTGAATAAAGTTGCCTGTGTTATACAGTAGGCCCTTGCTCTTTATCTATTTTTTTAAATTAATTAATTAATTTATTTTTGGCTGCATTGAGTCTTCGTTGTTGCACGCAGGCTCTCTCTAGTTGCAGCGAGCAGGGGCTACTCTTCGTTGCAGTATGTGAGCTTTGCAGTGGCTTCATTGCAGTGGCTTCTCTTGTTGCAGATCACTGGCTTTAGGCGTGTGGGCCACAGTAGTTGTGGCGCATGGGCTTAGTGGCTCCGTGGCATGTGGGATCTTCCCGGACCAGGGTTCAATCCTGTGTCCCCTGCATCGGCAGGCGGATTCTTAACCACTGCACCACCAGGGAAGCCCTTTATCTATTTTATATATAGTAGTGTGTATCTGTTAATCCCAAATTCCTAATTTATCCCCCCCTTTCCCCTTTGGTAACCATAAGGGAAAACAACTGTTTTTGTCATTCATCTCTCTGAAAGCAACAACAACAAAACAATCTCAGCAGCAACTAGCAGTTTTAGAATAAGTTCTCCTTCATCTCTTGAAAGTTTGATTGACAGCAGAGAAATTCAGGTCATCTTAAGAGCTCCTGTTATAAATTTAATTTTTAAGCAATGTTTCGTGAAGATAGAATGAGTATCCTCCAAAAGAGATCAAGACCTAAATGAAATATATTTCTAAAAGACATTTTCTAACCTATTCCTCACAAAAGCATGTATTTATAGGGAGGGATTAATGAATAATAAAGCAACTTCAACTGCACTTAGTCCAAATTCAGCATTTATGTAACCGAAAGGCACTTCCACGGATTCTGCCTCAGCCATCAATCAGTTACAACTATTAGCTGACAGGCATGGTTGCCGAGCCCAGAAGAGAGAAAAATACATTCCAACCAATTTGGCTGGCCTCTGGAACTGCCAATTTTAGTGAAAAGCTTTGGGAGATTTAATGACCTCCTTACTGCCTGTTCCATCCTTCTTCTCCCTCTCATAACAGCTTTTGATGGTTATGTAGAAACTTTAGCTGACGTTAGTTCTTTTTCAAAGTACCCATGATAACTTCAGAGAGATGAACAGAAATGAATATAAATTTAATTCCTAGATGCAACCAGAAACTATAGTTTTCTTTTCCTCTTGAGAGACTACCCTCTCATAAAGCAAAAATTCCTCAGAGTGATGACAGGAAAACAATAAATGTTTATAGCCAGAAGAGCCTCCGTATCTACCGATAAAGAAAGACAGACGCTTACCTATGAGGCAAGTTTTTAAAAGACACTGAGGGGAAAAAACTGCTGTCACTGATGTTGGCTACGCAGCCCTTTGTAAATGTTTTAATGCAAAACAGAGTTTAAAGTTCTCAAAACAAAATGATGAGGGGGCATCAAGCTAGGGGGAGTGAGCGATAAACACAAGGACAGATGATTTCAAATGAGAATCTTACTATTCAAAGTGAGCTCTGTATCTTCATTCACCCTGACCCCAAAGAGAAGCCCCAGAAGAGGGGATAATTGCAAATAGAGCCAAAGTTCAGGACCGCACGGAGCAGAATCTGGACTGGACTCCAGCCCTCCTGGAGCTAACTGGTGGCCATGGCTTTCCCCTGACTGAAAATAACAGAGGATAAAATTTGATGTACCAGATTAATGACGTTCCTAACAGACAGCTCCCATCCCAGGCCCCAGGTTTTAGAATCTGGGAGAGCAGGGTGCCATTTTCTCAAGCATCCAGCCTAACTGTGGTTCAAAGGGCTAAGCCAAGCTACATTGCTGTGGCTCAGCTCATCCTTTTCCTTGACAATTCAAGTCCAAAAACCCTGGGAATTACAGCAGTGCATGGGCACCACGAGTGATGACCTGAAAGTCTCACAACTAATACATGTGAGTTTAGTGTGATACACACTTCCAATACCAATACTCTAATTCTGCACAAAGAAGCTTCACGTGCTTTTAGAACAGGTCAGAGAAATCTTCCATGGTCTGATTTAGAAATGTTTTCTTCTGGAATCAAAAGGAATTTACCTCCACTTCATCAACTCTTGCCTTTGAGGATGAATAGCTTCGGAGAGAAGAGTTTAGACCCTGAACCAAAAGCACAAACTATAGGAGAGAACATTTTCAAATGTCCGCAGCCAACATCCAGGGAGAAACCGCCGCATTCTAACGTTGGGCGGCATCCGATAATTCAAGGACTTTCATAAACCTAATTCCTCTTTGATTCCTTGAGAGGTTTTTCTCTTGTCAGTTACCTTGCCTGAAAGTACTTCCCACCCACCCACCCACCCCCAATCCCAAACCTATAATAAAATACCTTAAACTCAGAGGAAAAAAAAGACTCACCTAATAATGTATCTCTAACGGAATAATAATGGAGCCACACAAAGAAATCATAAATGCTGCAGTTGGCGATCTGTGGCTGGGTCCCGTTGGTCCCGAGCAGGCCTAGCCAGTGTTGCGTGGTGATCACGTAGTCGGGATGCGGCGTGTTCTTCGCGAGGTCTAAGGATCCCAAGAATTGCTCACGCTCCTGAGGGGTCAAGGAGTGGATATTCTGCCGGACAACCAGGGGTTTCTTCTGCTCGCAGTTGGGGCCAGTCCAGCCAAACTTGCAGTCTCCACAGTTATAGCCGGCGAAGTTTCCTAGTGCATTTTAAAAATTAGGGGATACAAGTTATTACGAAATATTGAGTATAGTTCCCTGTGCCATAGAGGAGATCCTTGTTGTATCTATTCTATGCTTTCTTTGAATGACCATAGCACTTGTTGTCTGTATCATTTTTATGTCTGTTTTTGCTTTGTGACTGAAAAGGAAAAATTTCTATTCGTTCACGTCCTGGCCCTCCTTAAAATTGCGTTCATTTACGTATTTCATATGTATTGACTACATCTTAGACACCGTGTTAGCTGCTGGTTCTAGATGTTAGTAAAATATAGACCTTCCTGCTCAAAAGGTCCCAGTATTTGTGGGAAAACAAAAAAAATGAACAACCTATGTCTCAAAGAGATTCGTATTTCCCAAAGAGAACACACCTAGTAGGTATAATAAATACATGTATCATATGTAAAAATAAATAAATAAATAATAAAAATTGAGGGAAAGATGGAAGAGGCAGCTTATGTAGTTTGGAAGACATTTCTGGGGTAGAACAGAAGAGAAGATCAATTGCTTTTCCTTACTCTCCTCTTGAAATGTTTGTCTCTCCAAGTGGACTGAACACTGGAGAGTTCCTAGAAATATTCCCAGCAAAGAAATAGGACAGGAAATGAATTCCATGCTGTTATGAGCTGAACTGAGTCCCCACAAAATTCATATGCTGAAGTCCTAACCCCCAGTACCTCAGTATACGACTATCTTTGGAGATAGTGTCTTTTAAAAAGTAAGTTAAAATGAAGTCATTGGGGGGAATGATCATTAGCTAATCCAACATGACTGGTGTCCTCATAAGAAAAGGAAATTTGGACACAGTTACCGAGGGAAGATGATGTGAAGACAGGGAGAAGACACCATCAACAAGCCAGCAAGAGAGGCCTCAGAAGAATCCCAGCTGCCGACACCTTGTTCTGGGACTTCAGGCCTCCAGAACTGTGAGGAAATAAGTTCCTGTGTGTCACCCAGTCCATGGTCCTTTGTTATGGAAGCCCTAGCAAACTAAAACACTGCTGCCTTCCACGTTCCCTTCCTCTCACGGGTCAGGCCGGGTGTCCCTTCCTGGGGTTGAGCTGCAGCCTCGGATGTCATCACTGCTGGGCCCCCCTCCCCTGCAGCACATACGGAAGGGCTGCTGCAAAATAGGTCATTGATTTAGAGAAGGAAGAGAATATACACCAAGCTAAAGGTGGAACCAAAATAACTAAGCTGACTTCCAGGAATTAAGATGGAATCCAACATTTAAAAAGCTGGTTTATTTCACAAAGGAGACAGAGTTAAGACAAAATCAGTGGAGGCTGGCAGGTGAATTAGCTGCCGTGGTGTCAGGAAGCGCAAACAAACGGCTCTGCTTTGTTTGTTATCACCCCAGGGACTGAGGACTAGTCATACCAAGCTCTAGGCATCTTTCTGATTAGCATCTAAAGTTTAAATTATCTTAGCTTGACTTTTCCGTTTTTAGCCTTGATTATTGCTTTTGGTATGACCAGCACCTCATTCCTTAGGTGGTAATAAGTTAGAATAAACATTTAAATATTACTGGCATGAAATGTTGAAACAAAAAGGGATAATAACTCTTATCTCCTAGGGGGTGAGAGGGGTTATGTAAAGCATTTAACGTGAGTGACAATCTCCCTTCCTTCTCTTCCTATCCCTCCTCCCAGATCTTTTTTTTTTTTGATACATGGTTCACGGGCCCAGCCGCTCCGCGGCATGTGGGATCTTCCCGGACCGGGGCACGAACCCGCGTCCCCTGCATCAGCAGGCGGACTCTCAACCACTGCGCCACCAGGGAAGCCCCTCCCAGATCTTTTTACTTGCTCTTCCTTCTGTCTAGAACACTTTTCCCTCACGGTCTCCCTACATTCCTCTTTGCATGTGTTACCTATTCCACCTTTAAGCGTCACGATGGGCTCTCTGCAAGGTCATCCCTGATCCCACACATCGGGGTGATGATCTCATGCTGTGCTGCTATGACACCTCATATTTCCTTTTTCATTGAATTAATCGTGTCAACTGTAGACATCTACTGGCCTCAGCCACAGACAACTGGAAGGCAGTTATCCCGCTGCCTAGGCCTATGCTTGGCCTTGTACAAAGGAATATTTCTTTAACGAATGAAAGAAGCATAAAGCCAAATCACCACGATGGACACTTTAAATATCTTACTATTTTATTTGTCAGTTATATGTCAATAAAGCTGAAATTTAAGTTTTTTAATAAAAAAAAAGGAGTATAAAGCACGTAGTAGATGATTCAATGAGCCTCAGTTTTCTTCTTCCTTTCTCTCCCTTGTGAATTAGAAGGAAAAGCAGGCCCTGCAAATAATTTTGATAAACTACAAGTACCAAAATAGATGCAAGTAAAACATACTATGACCATAGTAAAGAGAGGGTTATTTGGATCTCTAAAGGGAAAGAAAATTTTCCAATAACATGAAAACAAAACGATTAGCATGTGTCCTACGTGAAGAAAATGCACAGGCCTCCTCTATTAACCCAATGGATTTTTTGATGGTTAAAGAAAATGTCCTTAAAAATATCATAAATAAGAAGAATTTTTTTAAAAATTTGGGTTCTATGCTCTTTGTAACATACAAAATATTCTACCTACTCTTACACAGCTTACTTGTATTTTCCTGTTTCAACGCCAAATGAGAACATAAGTTTAAAAAAAATACTTAAAAGGGAAAATTCTACTAGTCCCAAGGCTGAAAATCAAGTTCTTGAATAGTCTGCATTAAACATTAAAACTTATGTTGATCACTGGAGTGAAGCTATTAAATATAAATTATTTAACAAATATTTATTCAATAGCTACTACAGTATCAAATGCTATGCAAGGCACTTCAGGCTTCACGGAGCTTGGTGTCTATTTATTTTCCCTTGGGGTACCTACTAAAATTGTATAATATCTATTTTTAAACCATCTTTGATTAAAATGTATCCCCTACTTTGGCAGCTTCTATAGGAACAGAGTATTTTTTGAGAAGCGATTGAACAAAATGCATGTGAAGAATACTAAATACCTAAACTTCCAGCTGTTTACCTACAGCCAGGTGATTGGAGGTGAATGTGTAGTCATAGCTCTACAATAGGAGAGCAATTCCTTCCTCCAAAATGCTAAGAAATAGCACACACAAATTTCAAAATAGTAAATTCGATACATTTCTAGATTTAAAGACATAAAACTTGACTTTGAATTTTGGGGTCTCATTATTAAAATTAAATAATTCATAACTTAGGCCATGAGTTTTAAGATCTTTGCATTTTCTCTACCATGATTCTTTTTGGTTGCTAGAAACAAAATTACCAATAACTAATTATCTCCCTCATTCATTTATTCAACAAATAATTTATTAACGCCTAATACCTAAAAGGAGGTCAAAACTAATCATGCCCTGCTCTGTGCACCCACAGCTTTATGTACATTCATGCAATTGCCACACGTGGTAACTTTGGACTTTTCCTCTCAAAGCCTGTCCTATTGGAATAAGAGTTCTACTTCATCAGGTTCTTATGGAAAGCAATCATGTTAATATAGAGTAGTATTGGTACATAGTAAGTTCTGTATGAAGTGTTACCATTACTAGTTTTACCAGATACCACTTATCAAGTCGTATGGTTTAAGTATTTGTTTTCGTACCTGTCTTACTCATCCACTACGCTGTGGACACATCAAAAATTATATTGGGGTTTCTTCCCCTTTGTACCTGAAGGGCCTAACGTAATTGGTGCTAAATAAACATTGGTTGGCTGGCTGATGAAGGAGTCATGAATAACTAAATAAAAGGCATTAAGCCCTACAGGATACAAATATAAGGCACAGTGCGTTCATCTAGTGGGACAAGGAACATGGGCGGAACGAAATATCAACGCAAGTCTAACTGTGGGAAAAGTGAAAACAAGAATTAACCAAACACCATGAATGACAAAAGACAAAATGGTTGTTTCTGACTCAGAAGACCAGAGAGGCTTCACAATTATGTTGAACAAAGACATCTCATGAAGCCAGAGTTGCCCCTGAAAAGCAATATAGAAATGCTAATAAGAAAGTATTTGTGTGGATTTGAGCTCACCTATGACCCGTAAATGTATTTGATAAAAAAATCCCTTTTCCAGCATGTCTCAGAGAAAATATACCCCACAGCTCTGCAGTCAGACCCCTTTCATATTTGAGCTTCTAACCCTGATTTAAAGAATTTGTTAAAATGCTGAAGACAACTGAAAAGTGCAATAACATAAAAGCCTAGCACACAAAGTGTTTGTTTCTTTAATTTAGATTTCCTAGTATTTCCTAACATCAACTTAATGAGTTAAATTTTTCCATTAATCCACCAATAACAGCAGCCAAGATATAGATATAGATATAGATATAGAGGTATATAAATGAACGGGGCCCTTTTAGAAAGGATTGCGTTATCTCACTGGGAAATGGAGAGAGAAAAAAGAAAGAATCCCTAGATACCAGTCTATCACTGAGTATGTCCTTGAGTAAAAATTAAATTTAAAAAGACAAAGTCTTATACCTACTTAGGACTGGGGAAAAAATGGAAAGAGAATGAGAACAACCAAACAATGCACATTCCTACATGAACTGCATCAGCTCAACCTCCAAAGGCTATTAGATTAATTAAGCTTAAAGACCACCGATTAGTGAATTTACAAGGAGCTCTAAATAGCCTATTCCTTTTAATTAGAGATTCTATTATATTAATAACAATACTTTATACTCACATGAGGCCTTTCATTTACAGAATTCAAAAGGATTTTACAAATGTGGTTTCATCATTATCCCCATTTCAGAGATTGGAAAATGGAGGCACTTAGTCACTTGTACAAACAAGAATTCTCAGATAATTGTTCATAAACCATTTGGTGCACATATTTTTCAAAAATCCAAAGACCCAGCTGCAGCTGGTCTATGCTCAGGAATGCCAACTGGCAGGTGAGACTTGGAAGGTGAATGGCTAATGCCAAAGTCTCCTGAAATTGACCACTTCTTGACAATTAAGTTCAGTAATTTGGGGGGTTCAATTTATCCCCACAGAGAATAGAGAAGTTCTCTCTAGAGAATTTGAGCACATAATTTAGGGTTTTTTTCCCCCTCAGAGTTTGCATTTATTTCTTTTTATTGAGCTAAAATCTTTTACCAACTTCAAGATCGAGGAGACTATGGGTTTTTGTGTGTGTTTTTTTTTAATTGTGATAAGAATAGCTAACATGAGATCTATCCTCTTAACACATATTTAAGGGTACAATACATTATTGTTGACTCTAGGTAGAATGTTGTACAGTTCCGTTGTACAGAACTCTAGGACTTATTCATGTTGCTTAACTGAAACTTTATGCCTATTGATTAGTAACCCTCTACTTCCTCTTCCTCCCAGCTCCTGGTAACCACCGTTCTTTGATTCTATGAATTTGACTATTTTAGATGCCCCATATAAGTGGGATTTTTCAGTAGTTATCTTTCTGTGACTGACTTATTTCCTGAGTATAATGTCCTCCGGTTTCATTCATGTTGTTGCATACTGCAAGATTTCCTTCTTTTGTAGGGCTGAACGGTATTAAGTTGCAAATACATACCACTTGGCGAGGATGCAGAGAAATTGGAACCCTCGCACACTATTAGTGCAGCTGCTATGGAAAACAGTATGGAGGTTCTTCAAAAAATTAAAAATAAAACTATCATATAATCCAGCAATCCCATATCTGAGTATTTAACCAGAAGAATTTCAATCAGGATCTCAAAAAGATATTGGCATCTGCAGGTTCATTACTGCATTATTCCAAATGGCCAAGATATGGAAACAACCTAAATGTCCATCAAGAGAGGAATGGTGTGTTTATCTTTCCACTGTATTAACAAAGCTCAAGGTCATCAACAGTCTGGTTACTAATATACATTTCTTCATTAATAAATTTTGGGTGACACCAGAAGAATCCCAGTGATTCTATTTGCAAAAGAATTTTGAGGCTACCAGAGATCAGGTTTAACTTCTGAAGACTGCCTTCTAAATCATGAAGAAATTACTCTCAGAAAGCAAGCAACTCACTCTTTAGGGAGAATAAACTGAAAGACATGTGTCTTGCTTTGAGGCATATGACACATCACGGTGATTATGTATACCAAATACCTGTTCGGCTCAGTCACTAAGGACCTAGCCTGGTACGCTGAGGCTCGAAGACAAAGACCGTCTAGCCAACATGGGTAGAGCCATCCAAAGTTGGGATGGAAAGAGCTATGGTCCTGCATGAGTCTAGACAGATCAAATCCTGGAGGAGGGAGACAACTTAGGTCGCTGTGACCCTAATTTACTGCCACTTCTAGAGGAATATTTATAACCATTCCCTCAGGACAGGGAGACTGCAATTATCTCTTCTATTCTGCCATCCTTGATTCCTTCCATCTCCACTTTTTAAAAAACTTGCTATTCAGGTCAGAAACATAGAGTAGATGGTGATAAGGAGAGTTAACAGTTATATCTGAGTTCCTAATGTCTTCTGCCCCCAGGATTCTATAAAATGGAGATTCCCAACCTTTGTAACTTGTGGTACTCTATCATTAATTGACCTGGAAATAAGTTTTCTAGATGAATTTTTGAGTCATAGACAAAGAAGTCACTGTGTAGTGTGGTTTCCAATACCACAAGTAATATGAAACCTGCTGCCTCTCATTAGACTGAAAAACCATGAGAATCTACAAGATAATGTCTACAGAAGCAAATGCTCAACTAGCTTAGAAAAAATGAACAGCATATATTCAACATGCTATTAAAAACTTTTTGTCACAATAATACCCCAAGACAAAATAGTTCCTTTGAATCACAGAATTAACAATATGACTACAAAATGATTATAAAGCCAGAATTTTTTTCTTTTCCATTATGGTTTACTACAGAATATTGAATATAGTTCCCTGTGCTATACAATAGGATCCTGTTTATCCACTGTATACAAAATAGTTTCAGAATTTGTTTAAGTTAAAAACATCTGATATCATTCCTACATCAACATCACAGCCCTTTGTACATTCCCTTAGTTTACCTTTTTATGTCCTTAGGTAGCTCAATTATCTGTATTTTCCTATGTGCCAGCATCATATAAGAACATCAATAAAAACATAATTTCAAAAGGAAAAAACTCTTGTGTGGCTAGACACTGTAGAACAGTTTCCAAGGGCTTTGCTAAAGTTATGGCTTATGTGTTTTGTATTCCACATGCCCTGCCAGCCTTTGAGTGTTTATCACTGCTGTGCATGTTTGCTGAACACTGGAGGGGAGGCCCACTAAAGAGGATTTGAGATGGCTCAGAAGAGACGGAGGATTAAGAAGTGCACAGAGATTTCAAAGAAACAGGTAATAAGAGAGACCAAGGTCTAAAAGAGAGACACTGAGCAAATTTTGAAACGCTCACATCAAACCCAGGTAAGAGGGAAAAAAGCCATTTTTATCTCCTAACCAGCCTCTCTTCTTCAGCTCGCGGAGAAAGCTCTGTCATGCCACATCTCTCCGATGCTGGCAAAATTACAACCCAATCATAACCTTCACGAGCAAGACGTATCCTGCTTGAGACCTGTTCAAATCATTAGGAACGCTGAGACTCGGACTACAGAACACCTACCCTCGACGTCTGTCTTCCAGATGCCAAGCCTCACCCACCACCCTCTTCAACAAGTGCAAACCCATTTCAGAAGGAGAGGGCACTGAATCCATCTTGAAAGGACTTTTGCTCTGAGTTTCAAAGCTGACTCTTGAGCCCTTTAGCTACCCCCTCCAACAGAGAAGCCCGTGGTGTGTCGGCACGCGTTCATATAACCAAGCTTGGCCCACGGAATATTTATTTAGTGTTCATAGCTAGATATACAAAGGGTGTGAAGAGTATACCGAGACATCAGCCTTACTCAATTCCCTGCCTACGATGGACCAACTTGGTTTGCTTTTCAAAGCCTAGTCTAAGTATCTCAAGAGTCCCATCTCTTCCTTGGAAGGGGCTCTTTTCCCAGCGGGCCTGCCCCACCCAGCTGGGCTCATGAGCACGTCTGCCCGCCTTCCTCACCTGTGCACCTGCAGGTCCGGTCGAAGAACTTCCGTGGCCACCGCTCTCGGTCGTCCTGGTTGCGCAGGACGTAAGGACCGCTCCAGGGCCTGGTGTCGATCTGCACCTCCGCGCACTGGCCCCGGCCCTCCCGAGAGCCGCAGACGTCGGCCGTGTCGGCGCCCAGCGGCGGGCAGCACTCCTTGGCCTGCAGGCTGCCCACCGTCATGCAGACCCGGGGGAACTGCGCCCGCACCCGCGGCGGGAGCGCACAGCCCAGGCAGCCGAGCAAAAGCCCCCATCGAAGGGGGCTCATGGCTTTATAACCGGGAGGACTCTCTCGCACCTTCCACTACTCGCCTCTGTCCTGCTTTCCTCTTGTCTTCCACTCTTGAGCACTGGAGCATCCACCCCGTTTTTGATTTTTGTTCTTTGGGGATTTGCGGTTTGGGGGGTGTATTTTTGTTTCGCGTTCTATTCCTCTCCTCTTGAAAAAAAGACCCACAAAAATTACAGAACCTGCCTGTGTGCACGTGTGTACGTGCACATGCACAGACTACTTTATAGGACTCAGCACTAAAACAAAGTTAATTCCATTAGAAGCACCTCTAATGGCCAGATTTAATGAGGGTAGCGCTTCTCACCGCCTTCCCCCGTGAAATCAGGCTTTGTCTCTTTGAGTTAATTGACGGAGCGCTCCAGTCTTACTACTTATTATACTGGTATTTCTAAACCCCCTCCTTTCCTCCTTAGTCCGTGGCTTTAATTGCCTTGAACTCAGTTCAAAAGCCAAACGCCGTTTCGCCTTTATTCTGCCTGGCTTGCCAAATCACGGGGCCTTGTGGGGTTTGTGTAAGGGCTGGGAGAAGCCTTCATTAGGGGGATTAGTATTAGACAAATCCTCATCGTTAGCACATGACCCAAAGTGCACAATGAAGTAGATAAAGTTTCTGGCTTTGTTTCAAGAAGGCCAAACCATCTTCATTATCTGGGCTCATGTGCTCCAGCCAAGCTTGTGACCTCAGACTTCCTGGGGAGTCAATAGATGCAGTGAGCTCGGCGTCAAAGGCCCTTCATAGACCAACCCCACTGCTAACTGCAGCTCACTCCTGACTGCTCCCTGATGTGCGCGAAAGACCACTACAGGCCATCACACAACTTCACAAATAAAGAAACATTTATTGAGGGCTGACGAACAAGGAATTGCTTTGTTCCACAATTCACAATGAAGGACCCTCTTCCCTCCAAATAATAAGGTACTATTGTCCTATTCAGCACGTCTCTGCAGCAGATTTTTTTTTTAATTACACAAAGTACCATGCCACCAGATATTTAAAATTGTCATTGTCTAATTGTCAAGAGGCAGTGGGACAATTTGGAGCAAGGGCTTACAAATGATGTCTTTTGATTTATGTTAAAGTTAAGCATTGTCCAGCTTCAGTCTAGAAGGCAACGCCTCTGCAGTGCTTCCAGGGGCAGTGAGGGGAGCGTCCAGATGGGCAGCGGTGGCCACCTGTGAGAGCATCCATACTCCCTCCTCATGGTAGAAACAGGACTCTCTTAGTGCCATAAGGGTCTGTGCAGACAGCTGATGCAAAACTGCTTCAGACAGTGTCTAAGAATGCTTTCTGTTTGGGCATGAAGATACAGAATGTTATGTCCCAAAGCAAATGCCTAAGTTAAAAAAATTTTTATATAGCTGTTCCCACCCCATGTACTTCTGTGTCACCCCTATGATATTAAGTTGCTGTGACTAATTAAATGTTGGACTTACACAGAAATGTATGTTCTCAACTCTGACTGTACACCGTTGCCAGTTTGTAGCCCAAGCCCATGGAAGTGAAATCTCTGAGCGTGTGGCCCAGACGTCAGCATTTTTTCTAAGTTCTCTAAGCCATTCTAATGTGCAGTCTGAGGTGAGAGTCACTGGGTCAGAATAAAGCAAGGCTCCAAAGGAAATGTTGGAATCAAGTCAACTGAAATATTCCATGTGTGTTCATTTCCTCGGGCTGCCTTAATAAATTTCTACTAACGGAGTGGCTTGAAGTAGCAGAAACGTATTCTCGCACAGTTTTGAAGACCAGAAGTCCAAACTCAGCGTGTCGGTAGGACTGCGCACCCTCTGAAGGCTCTAGGGGAGAATGCTTTTTGCCTCTTCCAGTTTCCAGTGGCTGCTGCCCTTCCTCAGCTTCCTTGGTTTGAGGCCACATCATTCTAATCTCTGCCATAGGACGTGACCTCCTCCTCTCTGTGCTTTAATATTGCTACCCTAGATGGAAGCCCTAAGCAGGTCAGAATAGAGTTAAGAAATCCTCATCTTGATACAGGAGCCTAGCTAAAGTAATAATTTGGGGTCCCTCCTCCCATTACATTAACTGAGTTATCTTTTAGTATCAAGCCATAAGCCTACATTAAGGCATGTCATCGCAAAATACCGTGTGAAACTTGTAAGGCGTTTTTCTATCATCTCATATACGTCACAATGTCATTTTTATGAGGATCAATGGGAGAGATTTCTCTCAGGGTTCAATTTCCAGAAAAACGGTGCTTCCCCATAGCAACTAGCTTGTCCTGAACTTTTAGATCCTATGAATCTTAAGATAGCGTCTCTTTCTTTGCCTTGACCATTTATGACGCTTAGAACCAAATTCATAGCCCCATGTCTAGCAACTGACTCACACAGTGTTTTGTTTGATATTTGCTTTCCCATATGTTCCTAGATATGGAAATTCTTATTTTATCCTTTTGTAAATTTATGTATTTCTCCAGTCTATCTCAAGTCCCTTGAAAAAGGAGGCGGAGAGATGTATAGATGCACACATACATTTCTGTGTAAGTCCAACAGTAATAAACTCCCAGCCAAGTTGTTTGTAAGCAAGCCGAGGCTTAGAGAAGAATGCAAAAAGAATTCCTGAGAAGCTGGTGTAAGTAATCAGACATCTAAGGACATAAGCCTAGAAGATCTCAGATCATGCGTATGGTTGTAATTAAACATTGCCTTATTTACAAAAAGGAAAGTCTTTGCTAGAAACCGAAGAGCAGAATCCAGGAGGAAATACCTCCTCGGCGCATTGAGACCGTTTGTTGTCACCGGAAGCCATAAAATCAAAGACTATTCTATGGAATGTTCTGAAAGCCAACAAAGAGAGGCAGCTGTATATCACGGAGGGAAATAATCTGAGTAGAAAAGTGCCTTATCAGAAAGCAATATATTTTACCCTTTTCTTTTACAGTTGAGGCAAGAATCTGAATGAAAATTGATGTTCTGCACACTTTGATTTTGCATCTCAGCATCTAGTACCATCTTGCACATAAAAAGGACTCAATGCGCGATTCTTTAGAGAATGTGTGGACAATGCAGGGTGGACATGCAAAACCTTGGAGGTAGGATGCAAACCATGCCTTCGCTACATTCAAAGGAGGAAGAGACGGCTCAGAGCCTGGTAAGCAATCAAATGGGGTGGTAAACATTTTAGAGCCATAGCTAAGATTAATACAGAGAAATCAATCACCTGCCTCTTTCTTCTGCTTGTCAGCGAGTTGCCTGCTCCTTTTCCACGCCCCTGAATGTGAAAATCCTCCTTGTTTTAGCCCTGCTGGACTCCTCTGTCTGATGCTTTTTGATCTATTTTCTGCAGCCACATCATGGGGAAAAGAGATTATTTTTTTCCCCTGTGTCCAAATTGTTTCGTAAATGCTGGGCATCTGTCCTGATAAGGGTTTTGCTTTCTACATCTAAAAGCTTTTCTTTTCTTCATGGTGTGAATTGTTCTTCAGAGGAATCAAGGGTTAGGAACGGGCTGTGTGGTTTCTGGTTATTTCAGTTGGATGCATTTTTTCCTTCTTGCATGTATTTTTTGATAGTCTATTCTTAAGGCTGTGTTTATACATCAAACAGGTTTTTTAATTTCAGATTTTGCATCACTCATCTTTATATCTGTCTCAGTTCCTTGTTATGCACACTTGTGCCTTCTAATCTTTATTTTATCATTTTGGCTTTTATCCTTCATCCTGGTAATGGGTATTCAATATGGATTTTTTTATGTGCACCTCTATAATTTAATGACTGACTTGGGTAAGTAATATAGCTACTCCCCCTTCAAAATATAGATCTGTGGAAGGGAGAGATTCACTCCCCTTTCTGCCCACTTCTGATCAAACCCAGCAAATACCACCTATACATTTGTAACAGGTTGTATGGCCTGAAAATGTAAATTTTTTACACAATTTTAGTACTAACAGATCCACCATAGTCTATAAATGTACAATTAAGACAGTTTGGGATCTGCAAGGATCACCAAAATATAATGTCAAGAGAAAATCATAAGATACATAACTGTGAATTCACTATGCTAACACAGTGAGGGAGTGTATGTGTATGTGTGTGTGTGTAAATATGTAGAATATACACAAGAAACTGGTGGAGTGGCTTTCTCTGGGAAGGGGGCCTAAAGAGCTGGGGAACCAGAGAGAAAAGGAGATTCGTTTTCATTCTATATTTTTGTACATTTTGAATATTGAACCACTCACATGTAGTACTTACTTTTTAATCATAAATTTTAAAATTTAAGTTAAAAAATTTAGAATGATGGGTACTTGTGAGGATGACACTATATAAAGGAACCTCCTGTAAGTAGTAGAAACAATATGGCTTTGGCACATCACAGATTTGTTTTCTCCGTCTTGGTCCTGCTACTTATGAATTCAATGGCCTTGCACAAAGTAGTTATCCTCTCTCAGCCTCAGTTTCCTCATCTATAAATCACATTCACACTTACACACATACAAACATCTAATCCAAGAATCTAATTAGAAGTCCTTTTCATAATATGTTTCCTCTGGAAACTAAATCAATACTTCTAACTTCAGCACATGGAAAATATTCTTATCTATTATGCAATATTACTACCCAGAAATGAAGGGAACTGTTCTTTCCTAGATTCTGCTGAATTAATTAAATGATGATGTGCTATGTTTACAGGTATGCTATTCTCTTAGCCTTAGAACTTAGGAATCTCCATCATTAATTATAACAAATATATGTGTGGACAAATCTTAAATAAGCCACAGAGACCGGGTAAACCAGATTTGAGGCAACTCATTAATTTCAAGAGCTGACAAAGATGAATTCTATCATTAAAAATAAAAAAAATAAAATAAAATAAATCTTCAAAAAATACTTGACCTGAATCTGATACTTTATACCAAGCTCATTATTTTATCACTGCTGTCCAAAAGCATCTAACCATGGTGCCTGACACTGTCTTTGGAAAAGATTTCTTCTTATTTAATCTCATCTAAATTAATTTAGTTACTTTTAATAGGCCAAGTGCACACACACACACACACACACGAACACACATACATAGCCCAAAAGAATAACTCTAAACTTCC